ACAGTGGAACTTCGGGTAACTGTCCAGGCAGTAAGATGTCTCTATCAATCCTAGTGTTTGTATATTATCCTTCTGTGGTCTTTGATGGAGTTGAAGACAGATAGTTATAATTATAGTTTTCCTTAGTTATGATAAAAGATAAGCTACATATAGGACTTTGGACTCACAAGGATGGGATGGATGATATTTTCTTTAAATCTTGCTAAAATATTGTAACCATGTTCTTACTTAATAACTGTTCTGTTATGTATAATTTGACAGTGTTAAAGTTAAGACCTTTCTTTTTGTTTAAACAGAAAAGAGGAGATGTTGGGGGAAGTCCTGTGTATTTGTCAATAAAGTACTGTTGAGCCTATAGGGAACCAAGATAGGAGGGACTAGGAGTCCAGGAGAACTCTGGGAAGGAGAACACAAGAGAATCGACATGTAGCCACATGGGGTAGGAAGCCCGGGACTATTCTCCGGTAAGAAACATACTTAGATTAACAATTATGGGGTAATTACTTAAAGCAGAGCTAGCCAGTAAGAGACAAGCAAGGCCAACAGCCTCATAATTAATATAGCCTCCTGTGTGTCTATTTGGGACTGATGCGGATCTGGAACCAGGCGGGCGGGACGGCTTCTCTCAAGGAAAGCTTCTCGTAACATAATGGTGATCAGGAGTGGGATTGAATTTCCACGTAGAATGACAAAAGCTTTAAAGGAATTTTAGAAACAGAAGAATGGAGAGAAGCACAGATTTTTGGTAGCAGCATTTTTCTCAGGTGTGCTCTGTTTTGCTAGCCACAAGCCGAGATTCACGTGGCTCGCTTACCGGAGTCTTCCTGACTCGGCATAAAAAAAAAAAAAAAACAGCCAACAAGGTTGTTTTAAGAGACTCTGCTAATGATTGAAAAGTTGTACGTACAGCTGGAAGTGGCAGCTTTTGCTGGATGTCAACATGGACTGAGGCGGTAAGCTGGAGTCACGCTTACGCCCGCCATCTTGACGAAAAACCAGCAGTTTAAAACAGCCGAGGTTTTACAAATAAGACACGTGGCCAGAAAAACATAAAGATTTACAGTAAAGTCAGACTTGGATGAACAAAACCTTTAAAGGTTTACAGTGTGTTTAAAAATATACGTGAGATTGAGAGAGAAAATAAAATAACAAAGTGGTATATAAATACAAAAGCTGGCGTTGTGGTGGTGCACGCCGGTAGGATTTATTCCAGAAGCAGAGGCAGAGGCAGGCAGATTTCCAAAGAGAAACCCTGTCTCCGACAAAAATAAATAAAAGTAAAATAAATAAAGTAATAATAGATAAATAAATAAGCCATGTAAAGATGGAAAATACACAGAGAGTCTGGATACTGTATGCTATTGTGTTTTTCAGTTTTTTGATTGCTAAGGAAGGAACAAATGCTAAAGTACACTTGATTATAAATGCTGCTGAATGAATTCAACTTCTATCTTTTAAAAATGCCTTGACTTCAAAATTTAAGTATAAGGATATGTTACTTGGGAAAGGAGATTTTACTTATGTTTCCACAGGAAATGAAAAGCTGAGGATTCCTTCCAGGCTTCTGTGGTTCGACGAACCAAGACCCCCGGAAGCAGTGGACCAGGTGTTCCAACAATCGAAACAGCTAAGATGATGCAGTTTTACAGACCCCGAAAATACGGACTTATACAGGTTTCTGAGTTTTGTCATGATCCCCATGGTATGAACAGCGCCCCCTTTCAGCACGAAGCAGTTTGGGATGAGCGACGTCCTAATTCCCATCTTGTTTATAAATCTTTGTTTTCATTTAAATGGGATTGTTTATAATTGGCTAATGATCACAGCCGATCTCTTTTAATGGTAAAAAGGGGAATTATGGTATGGCTATTGTTTTTCATTTATTGATACAAAATTCAAAGTCAATTTTGTGATGTGTATATTTCTCCTCTTGATTAAGTATTGTGCTTATAATGATCTTTTACAACGTAATGTGTAATTAAATACAGACTATAGATAGTTACTTATAATAGAATTTATAGTTAGGTAAGTTAGGTTTTCTAGATATACAGAAATATATTTGACATAAACAGTCTTCAAACCTCTCAAAGACCTTCAGAACATGGCATTTAAAATGGTTTAGGGTTTTTCTTGACAATGAGAAATGTCTGCTCCTGGCAGCACCAATTATGTCTGAGAGGAAGATGGGCATCGAAGAAACTCGTTATGGAGTTTGCTTTCAACATGGCAAGATTAGCCATTTGGGCAAGAAACTACTCTTACCTAGACTGTTTGATTGTTGTTGTATAATCTGGACATGCAGGACCCACAGGAAAGTGACTGCTGAACTGAGTCTTACAGGGTTCCTGCTTCATGGAAGAATCTACGGTACATTCTACAGGACACAGAAAAATAACTGACAGACTACTGATGCAGATGGACAGTTTTAAAATTTCCTGCTTGGCTGAGAAATCTTCTGGATACATTGTGGCCTATGGGCTGAAGATGGATGCCCCAACGTTACAGTGGAACTTCGGGTAACTGTCCAGGCAGTAAGATGTCTCTATCAATCCTAGTGTTTGTATATTATCCTTCTGTGGTCTTTGATGGAGTTGAAGACAGATAGTTATAATTATAGTTTTCCTTAGTTATGATAAAAGATAAGCTACATATAGGACTTTGGACTCACAAGGATGGGATGGATGATATTTTCTTTAAATCTTGCTAAAATATTGTAACCATGTTCTTACTTAATAACTGTTCTGTTATGTATAATTTGACAGTGTTAAAGTTAAGACCTTTCTTTTTGTTTAAACAGAAAAGAGGAGATGTTGGGGGAAGTCCTGTGTATTTGTCAATAAAGTACTGTTGAGCCTATAGGGAACCAAGATAGGAGGGACTAGGAGTCCAGGAGAACTCTGGGAAGGAGAACACAAGAGAATCGACATGTAGCCACATGGGGTAGGAAGCCCGGGACTATTCTCCGGTAAGAAACATACTTAGATTAACAATTATGGGGTAATTACTTAAAGCAGAGCTAGCCAGTAAGAGACAAGCAAGGCCAACAGCCTCATAATTAATATAGCCTCCTGTGTGTCTATTTGGGACTGATGCGGATCTGGAACCAGGCGGGCGGGACGGCTTCTCTCAAGGAAAGCTTCTCGTAACACACCCCAAGATTGCTCTTCTGAGATAGGTCTTCAGACAGTATGAGGCCATCCCTGATTGTTTTTGTAAGAACAAAGAGAGGGGTAGTGGGATTGGTAGACTGCCTTTAAACACCCCTCACCCCTATAAAACTAAGTGCTGCTATTTAGGTAACCAACTGACAGGGGGCACAGTCTGAAATATCTTAAAATGACACAAATCCATAGCAGGTGTGGCGCTGCGTGCCTTTTATCCCGGCGCTAGGGAGACTGAGGCAAGTGAATCTAATCTCCATGACTTTGAGGCTAGGCTGATCTACATAGCAAACTCCCGGACAGCCAAGGCTGTCCAAATAAAATCCCACAAATCAAAGGACTGAGTTTGTTTTTGCCTCTTCTGGTACCATCCCTCCACCCCACGAGGACAGCCCCGTTTTTCCAAGAGATGTCCGTTATCTATGAGTCATCCTGAATGCCAGTGACATAGCACCCCATGTTCTATCACGCCACCTCCACGTTTGTCACTCCCTCAAATGCCTTGTTCCTGTACCCCTGAAAAGATAGGCCCAAAGGTGTCACTACCGTGTCTCCAGGGCTAGCATAAAGTGACTAGTGGATGCACACTGCCAAACTCGCAGAGCTGAATGGTAGTATGCATCAAATGTGGGCAGAATGGCAGTATGCATCACATGTGCGCAGAATGGCAGTATGCATCACATGTGCGCAGAATGGCAGTATGCATCACATGTGCGCAGAATGGCAGTATGCATCACATGTGCGCAGAATGGCAGTATGCATCACATGTGCGCAGAATGGCAGTATGCATCACATGTGCGCAGAATGGCAGTATGCATCACATGTGCGCAGAATGGCAGTATGCATCACATGTGGGCAGAATGGCAGTATGCATCACATGTGTGCAGAATGGCAGTATGCATCACATGTGCGCAGAACGGTCTCAGAGGGACTGTTTAAGAATGGTTTCTGTTAAGAAAAAGAAGAGAAGGGGAGGGGAGGGGAGAAGAGAAGAGGGCAACAACTGACCAACCAACCAAATGAAAGATCACAACGCAAAGACAAAATATTCTTATTGTTTCAAACTACAAAATATTGTTAGAAACATATATGTGCCTAGTACTGAATATGATTTCAATATTGGTTAAAATTATGGTATTTTTTATTACTAATCTGAAATAAAAATTATCCTTCTTTTCCAAAAAAAAAGAATGTTTTTTGTTTCTAATTATGTGTAAATGTGTGCGTGCGTGCGTGTGTGCGCACACGTGGGTATGTAAGTGTGAATGGAGGGCCTGACAGTGACCAGAGGCACTGGTTCCCTTGCAGCAGTAGTTAAACAAGTAGTTGTAAACCGATGTGGGTGTTAGGAACCAAGCTCTGGTCCTTTCAGAGCGACTTGGAGTGAGAATGTGAGGTGGAAGCTGACATGCTTGGCTACATAAACTCTGGTACACTTGTGCACTCGGGATACTACCCACAACTATAAAGACAAAGCTCCCTGTGAAGCAACACGGTGTGGTCCCCAGGATGTAGTAATTGGAAAAGCAAGGCACAGAAAAGGGTTAGGCACACTGTCACTGTCTGAAAAGGATGAGGGAGAATACAGAAGAGGGGAGATGCATGTGCATATTTACACAAGCTATTTCTGCCAGCAAACAAACAAACACTAGCTATTCTGACTTCTTCCAGGGAGGGGAAGTGGGGTTTGGGGAATAAGGAAGAGAGAGGTCTTTTGTTTGGGTGTTTCTTTCTTTCCCTTTTTTTTCCTAACCACAAACTTTCATGTAACTTTTTCAAGACACTGTTGCTTTTTTCAAAAAAAAATTAAATTAAATTCATAATCACATTGGCAACTCCTTATACATATATATTTAATTTAATGGCAAATGTAGCAGAGTTTCCGCGGGCGGTCTACAGGAAGTGTCAGCCAGTAACCCCTCCCATTCTCCTGCTGTCACCGCCCTGGGTCACAGCTCTTCTTCTCTAGGCTTTGGTCCTCCCTTCAAAGATGAAGGTCGGGCCTGGTCGCAGCTGCCTCCTTTGCTGAAGGTGTACGTAATGGACAGGTAAACAGTAGCCTGTGGTGGCAACAGAAACTCCCTCCATGCCAATGTGTCCTGTAAACAGAATGAAAGAATATCTCATGTTTACCTCATAGAGAGACTTTTACAAAAACAACTTCCTGGCTTCCTTCAGCTACTAGATAAAATAAACTTGACTCTGCTCTGAGTCAACTGACTTCACTGGAAGCCAGAGCACTTAAAGGAAATAACTGGGAAAGTGGCAGAACTCTCCTCTACACCTGGTGCACCCTGGCTATCTGCAAGAAGTCTCCATCTGATTCTGGGGGGAAGGATTGCTGAGAAGCTGCAGTGTCCACGCCAGAGCAGGGGTAGCTCAGGAATCCTAACAAATCTCTTGCTGTGTGACCTGGGCAGGGGTGCGACCCAGGCACTGAAGGACTTTTACATTAAGCTGAGTGCTCTGACATCTTGAAACTCTTACGGACTTTTAGAAGGGGGCCCACATATTCATGTTGCATTGAGCCTTGAAAATTATGCGCTCAGTACTCCAAAAATACTCCCCCAATTTTTTGTCCACCACACATGCACACACATACTCACACACACATGCATGTGCACGCGCGCGCACACACACAGAATAAAATAAAAAGACTTACTAGGATGAATGCTACTTGAAGAGGTGATCATGGAATGCTCTTTTAAAACATGTGTGGCTTTCTTCAGCCCGGACTTGAGCCATAAACAGGAAGAGCCGTATGAAGAAAGGGGAAGGGCCGGTCCACTAGGACGATGGCCTAGGAAAGCACATCAGCATATGTCAGTGTGTAGGAACTAGCTCGTTCATAAACTGAATGGAGACTAGTACTGGAGCAGCATGCAGCCAGGAGGCTAGGCCAGGGAGATGGGCAGGGGCCAGATCCACACTGGGAACTATGGAGTCCATTCCAGATGGCCTTTAAAGACTTGTAGGAGGGGTAGTAAGGGCACAGGTTTGTATGTGAGAAAGTTTACAACAGCTAGTGTGTACATTCTAGGATGGAGGGGGACAAGACTCCAAATAGTTACTAACACATTGCCGAGTTAGATAAAAGAGGACAGTCTCAGGTGGGTGGTAGTGTGGGAACGGACCAAAGGGAACTGTGCTTCAGAAGGGAACAGACAGGATTTGATAACAGTTTGTGTGTTAGGGGGTGGGGTGGAGGGGACTAAATGGCTGCAGATGACAGTTATGAAATCAATAAAATGCTACAAAACATGCTTTAGAGGTAGAGACAGATCATGAGACTCATTTTAAAGGTTAACTTACATAACTGTTTCACGGTGGATATGATTCCTACCACACACTAGAAAAGGCCAGGGGAGGCTTTGTCCAGAGGTCCCTGGGGAGGACAGCATGGTCACAAAAGAGCAGTCTCACTTCCTGCTTCCTCTCTCCCATTTGCTGGGCCTTTTGTCTCCAGGCTGAGGATCCGAGATAGATTCTCCCTGAGTGACTTAGAGCCATCAGTGATCACAGGTCTTCAGCGGTCCCAGGTGCCTCAGTTTACCACCTCACATGTCACTGCTTTGTAGAATAACAAGATTCATTCATTTATGGACAGAATATCATGTGTTCCAGGCTTGCCTCAAACTCCCTCTGTAGCCAAGGATGACCTTGAACTCCTTATCCTCCTGCCTTTACCTCTCAAGTGCTGGGGTTACAGGCATGTGCCACCATGCTCAGGCTCTGTACGTGGTAACCAAACATTCTGCCAGCTGAGCCACATCCTAGGCCCTCAGGTCTAGAGTGCTAACCTTTCTCAGGGGTAGTGAGTCCCTGAACCTCACTGGGTTAGGAGTCGGGGTGTCCTGTGCCAGTGGGCCCTCCGCTCACTCAGCACTCGAGCTTACACAGAACGTTCACATCCACTGACTCATTTGAATCTCTCAATAACCTCTGAGACCAAAGGCACAGGTTAACCATGAGTTCCATTTCACAAAGTAGGTTCAAAGAGGTTAAGTGATCTTCCTTGGTTGCACAGCAATAGAGGGGGATCCACAGCTAAGTCAGGAATCTGGTATCAAGATGAAGGCACTTTCTAGCAGGTGATATCACTCCACAGTCACTATCATCCATGTTCTGTGATACAGAGGCACATTCTGTTACACTGACCAGAACTGCAGTCTTTTACAGAGTTGCAAGGCCCCATAGAAGTCCCACCCAGTCTCTTTGTCACAAGGAAAAAGCAACCAAGAGGCTTGAAAAGAAGGATATTTGTGATAGCATCAGAACAGAACCCAAAGCTCTGGCTCAGACCTCTCACTGCTTCACTCAAAACCTCCTGAGCTCTGCCCTCCTCCGTATTGGAAGACAAGCCCTTGGCTGAGGCAAGCTTTGTGGAACCGGGAAGTAACCAAAACGGAAAGGTGAGAGGTTGCTTAACAACCAGGGAGGGGACCATGTGTGACTGCTCTGGCCGCCTGGCATCCATGTCCCCTTCTTCCTGGTGCCATCATCTCTCCCCACATCTTCCCCAGGAGCTCTTGGAGCTCAGTATCCAGGTGGAATGACTTCGTTTTCCTTTCTTGGGAAGAAGTAATAATACAATCTGATCTGTTTATCACTCCCCAAGGGTTGTGTGGCTCAGGGTTACATATTTCACTTCTTTTATATGTGTGTGTATGTGTTCTGGTGTGTGCACATACATATATGTGCTCACATGCGTGTGGAGGCTACAAGATGACTTACACCACAGGAGACAGACACTTTTTTGAGACAGGGTCTCTCATTGGTCTGAGGCTTACCAAATAGGCTAGGTTGGCTATCCAGCAAGCTCCAGGGATAGCTAGTTCCCCCTTCCCAGTGCTGGGTTACAAGCACACAGTTTCACACCTGTCTTTTGTTGCTGCTGTTGAATATGTGTCCTAAGGATCAAACTCAGGTCGCCCGTGGCAGAGGAAGCACCTCACTCCCACTTCTGTCTCAAGCTCTTCATCTGAAAAGCTAGACTAATAGCATGCCTTATGTGGGTTAACCACAGAAATTAAATGAAGTAATGACTATAAAATTGCTAACACATAATAAGCACACCATAAACGCTCAATAAACTTCAGCTCTTAATTATTATGGGTGTGAAATTAGGGTGACTAAGTACCTGTTTACAAGCACCAACTCCCTCCCACTTTATGCTGGCTGAGAACACAGTTCCTATTTATCTGAAGGAGACGTCTAGCCTGAGAGCACACAAAACAGAGCAGAGGCCCTGTGCCTGAGGCCTGGCACTGCCAGCAACTGACTTGGTAACACCCAGTGAGTCTTTTACCATAGCTAATCCTCAGTTTTCCCACATATTAACCTACAAGGAGACGAGGAGACATGGGCTCTAGTTCATTGTCGGTTCCCGCTGGGGATATTTGTACACTATGTGAAGATGTGCTGCTGTGATTGGCGTAACAAAAGGCTGAACGGCCAATAGCTTGGCAGGAGAGATAGTTGGGACTTCTGGGGAGAGAAAGAAAGAGGAGGAGGAATCAAGGCAGAGAGGAAATGCCAACGATGTGGGGGGAGTTGGACGTACAGAATGGAAGAAAGGTAGAAAGCTTCAGGGTAGACTGTAGATCAATATGTAGAGGGAGAATCTTCTCCATCTAGTCAGGTCCCCCTGGACTGGTTTCTCTTCTGCCCACCTGGTCCCCGCAGCTAATAAGAAATAACCACTCTGAGGCTTAATGTCTGTTGCAATCATTTGGCCAATGGCTCAGGCTTCTTACTGGATAGCTTTCTCTTAATTATTAACTCATTTCTATTAATCTATGTACCACCAGATGGCCTTGGCTTACTGGTGGTGATGCCCTGGCATCTTGACTCCCCATTGGCTACATGTCGCTTCCTGGACCCCACCTACTACCTCTCTCTATCCCTGTTCAGATATCCTGCCTGTCTTTACTCTGTTAACCCATTGGCCTAAATAGCTATATTCATCAACCATTAAGAGAAACACATACAGCATATAGAAGGACATCCCCCATCATCTCCCCTTTTCTGTCTAAATAAAAAGGAAGGTTTTTAACTTTAATATAGTAAAATTAGCCGGACGGTGGTGGTGCATGCCTTTAATCCCAGCACTTGGGAGGCAGAGGCAGGCGGATCTCTGTGAGTTCGAGGCCAGGCTGGACCGACAGCCTTGAAAACAATACAGAGAAACCCTGTCTTGTAAAAACCAAAAAAATAAAAATAAAAATAAAAAATAATATAGTAAAATTACATATAACAAACAGCTATCAAAGAAGAATTATAGTTATAATATTTAGCTCATTTATATATGGCAAAATTTAAATAACATATTCTATCAACCATCCTATCTTTGTGAGTCTAAAGTTTTATATCTAATTTGTTTTTTATCATAACTAAAGAAAATTATATCTGTCTTTAACTCCGTCAAAGACCCCAGAGGGATATATTACCTAAGTAAACAGGAACTGTGTTGTAAGCAACTTCTAAAACTTTAAAAGCAGTAACTTTATTTATATTTATTTATTTATTTGTGTAGCCCAGACAGACTCAAATTTTCTATGTATTCAAGGCTGATCTTGAACCTGTGATCTTCCTGCCTCCACCTCCTAACTGCTGGGTTTACAGGTACAGATGCATCATCTGTCTAGTGTTGAGGATGAAGCCCAAGTCTCTGATCATGCTCGGCAAGCACTCTCCCCAGTTTGATCCATCCTCAGACTTACACTGGGGAGTTACAAATGAAGATTTTTACCAAACAGGCAATGAGAGTCCAGCACATAGGGAGGCTAGAGGACCTGCTTCAATGTGAGGTCCCTGGGGACACTGAGCAAGCCAACTAGGACTGCTATCTCCCCTTTTTTCTGTTGTAAAGAGAAGACATTGTATTGGGAGGAGGGAGTTGGATCTTCATATATGACACACCCTAGACTGCAAAACAGTATGCTCCTGAGTTCTGCCAGTCGGGAGGATGTGTGATCTTGGAAAGCTCATATCTTTCTCCAGGCTCCTGAGTTCATAAAGTACAGACTAGAAGGAGAGTCATGAATTTATCACCCTCATATCTAAAATAAGGCCATGAAGACCCAAACTGAGGAAGTGAGTCCTTAGGGCCACACAGAAAGTAAGCAACCCCAGGGCTCTGCTTTTATGTTATAAAAGCTAGTGGGCCCCAGGGTTTAAAAAATTTTTTTTAACCAGATCTACTGTGGTAGATCCAAGGACCCCTCTCAGCCATGGAGGGGGACAGGGTGGCTTGTCAAAACTGAAGAATACTGTTTGGCAGCCCTAATGCCTCCATATCCAAACAGAACTCAAATATCTTTTCTCAGACCCTCTGGGACAAAGGACCAGCCTGGCCTGGCCTGGCCTTCTTATCTCTTGCTCTACATCAGACACAGTCCATTTTCTATCGGTATTATCTACAAAAACCTCCTTAGCTGCCCAACAGGAAAATCATGCCAAAGCCCAGAGTTAGTTTGAAGGCCAAGATGGGAGTAGTTTCAGTGGATGTGTTGGACCTCCAGCCTGCGGTACCTTCAGACACCCGTGTCTCTGCACATGAGTGGAGGCATTATAGCAAGAGCAATAGGACAGACAGGCCTGGGTTCTAATTGAGCCTAATTTTTGTTGAATGAATTTGGGCAGGATATTTAGCCTTCTGAACCTCAATTTTCTCATATGCAAAATAGGGATGGCACCATTTGCCTCACGGGGTGTTGAATAGTTAAGTATAACATCAGAGCTCCAGGCCTGGAAGAAGGAATTCTAGTTATGTGTGTTTTCCTGATGCTCAGTGTGTGGAGC